GGCCAAGGGAATAACTTTAAAAGCATAGTGGTAAAAGAACTTGGACTCTGGCATCTGTCAGGCCTATATTTAAATCCAAAGTCTACTGACCGACTGTTGATGATGAATTACCTAACTTCTCTGAGCTTTAGTTTCCTCATTTGAAAAATGAGATGATAGTAATGCTCACTAAATAATATGTAAGGATGGATACGATGAAAGCAGCAGTTAATATTTATTGTGCTTTCACATGTGTTCATTATTCTGCTATGTGCATTTTAAGAATTATCAATCTTACTCTTTCAGCCATCCCATCCCATAGGTACCAACGTTATCCTTAATTTATAAACAAGAAAACCCATTATCAGAAACTTTCCAAAGTGACATATGTCATGATGGGTAGGTTAGAATTTGAAACAGAGTCTGTGTTCTACCAACCACAGAACTTGACATATAATAAAGGCTCAACATATGGAAGCTATTATAATTATTTTTTCAAATACTAGATCAATCTAAGTTACAATTAGGAGGAAAGAAAATAACCTCAGAGTCATTTTCTATTTGCGAAGAATAAAAGTAAATAGTAATGCACTCAAAATATATGGGGAATTGAGTAAAGACTTGGAAATAGAGAGTAAAGCACATATAATTTTCCATTGCTAAAAGAAAAACAGACATATTATATGATTAACCTTCCCATGGCCAGACACAGGAAATACAGGAACAGAGGTATATTCAAACCTGGTTCAAGGCCTGGAATACAGAAAAGTATCTATGGGAATTTTTATGAACTCCAGGGAGATCTTGGATATATGTATCTCCAAGGAAGACTTTGTCTGAGAAATACATAAAATTATCTGAAAAAATTATTCTTAAATCTAAGAGGAAGGGGATATGAAATAAAGTTTCCAATTTAATTCCTGGGTCCTTTTAATTCTGAAAATCTTTCTCCAATTGCATATTTTTAAAAGTGGTGGTTAATAATTTTAGTTCCTTCTCAAGCATGAACAGAGCAACAGCCAGGGAACCAGGTAAGGGCAGTGACCCAGGCCAGAAAAGCAGGTGAAAGAGAAGCCAGAGGGGATGACAGAGCAGAGCAGCAGCCAGGAATCCAGGTAAGGGAAGCAACCCAGGCCCCACCCCCACCAGCCAGGAAAGCTGTGGGGAAAGAGAAATCAGAGGGTAGGACAGAGCAGAGCAGCGCCAGGGATCCAGGTAAGGGGAGGGCTGAGAGGTTTCGAACAGCTAAAGCAAGACAAACTTGTCTGTCAGTTTGTTGTACTATTGTGGCTTGCATATTGCTGTGAGGCTTAAAGCTGTGCCACTGGTCTTTCAAGTGCTGGCAGGGTTGCACATGGTGCACAAGTATCAGTGCAGCTTGCAGACAGAGCCAGACTAGGAAGAAGGAAGAGGCCATCCACTTCTCAAAGAATTAGCCAGGGAAAATCTTATGAATAGCAGAGAAACACTGTCTGATATATTACTGTGCAACTTTATCAACAGCCCAGAAACATTATCTAATACAGTGCAGGAGAACGAGCCCTTTAGGTCAGAAGGCTTTCAAAATAAGACTAGGAAAGAGCTGCATCATCAAAGTAGTACCAAACTTACTGATATGATATGGATAAAGTAAAGCTTTCAAGACCTCCATTTGCTGATGTGGCACGACTCAAATTGAGGTGAAACAGCTGCAAACATCCATTAATAATCAGAACACGGAATGTATGAAGTATGAATCTAGGAAAATTGGAAGTTGTCAAAGATGAAATGGAATGCATAAAGATTGATATCCTAGGCATTAGTGCGCTGAAATGGACTGGTTTTGGCCATTTTGAATCAGATAACCATATGATTTACTATGCCAGGAATGATAATTTGAAGAGGAATTGCATGGCATTCATCATCACAAAGGATGTTTCAAGATCTGTCCTGAAGTACAAAGCTGTCAGTGATAGGATAATACCCATATGCCTACAAGGAAGACCAGTTAATATGACTCTTAGTCAAATTTATGCACCAACCACCAAAGCCAAAGATGAGGAAATTGAAGATTTTTATCAACTTCTGCAGTCTGAAATTGACCAACTGTGCAATCAAGATGTGTTAATGATCACTGGTGACTGGAATACAAAAGTTGGAAACAAAGAAGAATCACCAGTAGTTGGAAAACTTGGCCTTGGTGACACATATAATGCTGGAGATTGTATGATAGAATTTTGCAAGACCAATGACTTATTCATTGCAAATACCTCTTTTCAACAACACAAATGGTTGCTATACACGTAGACTTTTCCAGATGGAGTACACAGGAATCAGACTGACTACATCTGTGGCAAGAGGCGATGGAAAAGCTCAATATCTTCAGCCAAAATAAGGCCAGGAGCTGATTGTGGAACAGATCATCAATTGCTCATACGCAAGTTCAACTTGAAGCTGAAGACAATTAAAACAAGTCCACAATAGCCAAAATATGACCTGGAATACATCCCTCCTGAATTTAGAGACCTTCTAAAGAATAGATTTGAGGCACTGAACACCAATGACTGAAAACCAGAAGAACTGTGGGATGATATCAAGCATATAATATCCATGAAGAAAGCAAGAGATCATTAAAAAGATGAGAAAGGAAGAAAAGACCAAAATGAATGTCAGAAGAGACTTTGAAACTTACCCTTGAATGAAGAGTAGCTAAAGCAAATGGAAGAAATGACAAGATGAAAGAGCTGAACAGAAAATTTCAAAGAGCAGCTCAAGCAGACAAAGCCAATTACTATAATGAAATGTGCAAAGATCCGGAGTTAGAAAACCAAAAGGGAAGAACATGCTTGGCATTTCTCAAGCTGAAAGAACTGAGGAAAAAAATTAAGCCTCAAGTTGTAATATTCAAAGATTCTATGGGCAAAATATTGAACGATGCAGGAAGCATCAAAAGAAGATGGAAAGAATACACAGAGTCACTGTACCATCCATTTCAGGAGGTGGCGTATGATCAAGAACCAATGGTATTGAAGGAAGAAGTCAAAGCTGCACTGAAGGAATTGGAGAAGAACAAGCCTCCAGAAACTGACGGAATATCCACTGAGATGTTTCAACGAACAGATGTCCCACTGGAGACACTTGGTTATGCCAAGAGATTTGGAAGACAGCTACCTGGCCAATTGACTGGAAGAGATCCATATTTGTATCCATTCCAAAGAGAGGTGATCCCACAGAATGTGGAAATTATTGACCAATATCATTAATAACACATGCAAGTAAAATCTTACTGAAGATAATTCAAAAATGGTTGCAGCAGTATATTGACAGAGAACGTCCAGAGGTACAAGCTGGATTCAGAAGAGGATGTGGAACAAGGGATATCATAGCTGTTGTCAGATGGATCTTGGCTCAAAGCAAAGAATACCAGAAAGATGTTTACTTGTGTTTTATTGACTATGCAAAAGTATTTGATTGTGGGGATCATAACAAATTATGGATAACATTGAGGAGAATGGAATTCCAGAACACTTAATTGTGCTCATGAGGAACCTGTACATAGACCAGGAGGCTGTCACTGGAACAGAACAAGGGGCCTCTGCATGGCTTAAAATCAAGAAGGGAGTGGGTCAGAGTTGTATCCTTTCCCCACACCTACTCAATCTGTATGCTGAGCAAATAATCTGAGAAGCTGGACTATATGAAGAAGAACGTGGCAGCAGGATTGGAAGAAGAATCATTAACAACCTGTGATACGCTGACAACACAACTTCACTTGCTGAAAGTGAAGATGACTTGAAGAACTTACTGATGAAGATTGAAGAATACAGTCTGCGGTATGGATTACAACTCAATATAAAGAAAACAAAAATTCTCACAACTGGACCTGTAAGTAACATCACAATAAATGGAGAAAAGACTGAAGTTGTCAAAGACTTCACATTGCTTGGTTCTATAATTGACACCAATGGAGGCAGCAGTCAGGATATCAGACGACATAGAGCACTGGGCAAGTCAGCTGCAAAGGACCTCTTTCAAGGGCTGAGGAGCAAAAATGTCTCCTTGAGGACTAAGGTGTGCCTGACACAAGCCATGGTATTTTCAATTGCCTCATGTACATGTGAGAGCAGGACAACGAATAAAGAAGACTGAAGAAAAATTGATGCTTTTCAGTTGTGGTGCTGGCAAAGAATGCTGAAAGTACCATGGACTGCTAAAAGAACTAACAAATCTGTCCTGGAGGAAGTGAAGCTGGAATGCTGCTTGGACGTGAGAATGACCAGACTTTGTCTCACCTACTTTGGTCATGTTGTCAGAAGGGACCATTCCCTGGAGAAGGATGCCATGTTTGGTACAGTGCATGGTCAATGAAGGAGGCAAAGGCCCTCAACGAGATGGACTGACACAGTGGCTTCTGCGATGGGCTCAAGTTCAGTAGGGATCGCGGAGCTGGTGCGGGACCAGGTGGTGTTTTGTTCTGCTGTGCATAGGGTTACTATGAGTCGGAGATGACTCGACATCACCTAACAACAACAACTCATGCGTGGTTGTTTGAAACTTTTTTTATTTTTTAAAGGAATGATTTAGTTATATTTTTAATTGTGCCTACTAGAAACCTGACTATCTGGATCATGAAGCTATATATGAAATACTGCAATCCGTCTGGTAATGGCAGAAAGAAATTTAAGTTCTGACTTTTTAAGGTCTACCTTATACTAAATCAGAAATGCAAAGTACACAAAAGAATGTGTCAAATGATGAGGGACTGGGACACATAAAAGAAGGAGTTTTAAGACCATGTTCTAGGGACATAGTCTACACTTGATAAATGTTTGTTGGTAGTGGGAGGGAAGGGAAGAGATAGGGAAAAGGGTGAAAAAGCAGAAAGGAGGGAATGGTAGGAAGGAGAAAGGAGGTGATTCCAAGAAGATGAATGCACATAAGCAATCCTGAGATGGGAAAGGCAAGTTAAGTAGCTTCATTGGAAGGTAGATTTTGTGCAAGTAAGGCAGCACATGCTAAAAGAGGTGTAGTCATTCACTTACCTCAACCCATTGTAGAACAACTCCTTGTAGTCAACATTTATTATTCTTATGTTTTCTTTTGAAAGTTCATCAAGGGTCTCTAATCGGCCCACTTGCTGAAAACCAGGAGCCATAAGCTTGACATAGTCCCTATCAAAACTTGGCAACCAAAAAATCTGTAAGAAAAACAGTAAGTCCTTCAGTGGATAATCATCTAAGAACAAAGAGCTTCATGTAGAGCAGATGGAACACCATTTTAGCACTGGGCTACAGGAAGTAGAGAGAGTGATTCTGGCCCTTGTTGGAAGGGTCAGCCTGGCCTACTATTGTCTAATGAGTTCTCATAATACGGCCTTCCCCAGAGTTGTTGTGGAGTTTTCTCAGGATCTCCATATCCACCAGTTAACATCATAAGTCAAAGGTCCACTGTATGCTGAAAGCCTCATACAAGGTAAACTGTATGGTGAGTAGGCAAATGTAGATGAAAGGTGGGAATTGCAAGCATCCACTCTGAAACAAATCTCTGAGCGGAATCATTTCCTGACAACAGGGAATGTGATTATGACTCATCTGTAAAAATAACTCCATATGCAAAAAAAAACCCACCAAAATATTTGTTTCACTCCTAGTACTCTTCCATATGATTCTGAAAATGGCTTCCCAAATGTAGAGTTCCTTCTGAAAATACTCTGACCAAGTCTCTGCTCAAATATGTATTAGCTGTCCTTTCTACACTATTCATCAAAGCAAAGTTCTCAAAGCCTTAATGTAACCTAGGCTCTTTCTAATAGATTTATGTTAGTGATGGTGCAGGTCACATCACATGGTCCTTACACACATTACTCTTTGACAGGATGCTGGTATTTCATTTGGTTTGGAATAGCAAATGGCCTACCGGATATTTTACTGGCTCATTCGCAGATTGTCACATGTAGCAGTATAAGCAACAATCTCTATTTACATTGTTGTTAGATGCTGTCAAGTGGGATCCAACTCATAGTAACCCTATATACAACAGAATGAACTTCTGCCTGGTCATGCACCATCCTCACAACCCTTGATATACTTGACACTGTGACAGCCACTGTGTAAATCCATCTTGTGGAGGGTCTTCCCCTTTTTTGCTGACCCTCCATTTTACCAAGCATGATATCCTTCTCCAGGGAATGGTCCCTGATAACTGCAAGACCAAAGTAGGTGAGACAAAGTCTAGCCATTCTTGCTTCCAAGGAGCATTCCAGCTGCACTTCCTCCAGAAGAGATCTGTTCGTTCTTCTGGCAGTCCATGGTATTTTCAGTATTCTTCACCAGCACCATACTTCAAAGGCAGCAATTCACCATCAGTCTTCCTTCTTCATCTTCCAGCTTTCACCGGCCTATAAGGTGACTGAAAATACCATGGCTTGGGTTAGTTGCACCTTAGTCTTCAAAGTGACATTTTTGCTCTTCAGCACTTTAAAGAAGTCTTATGCAGCAGATTTGCCTAGTGCAATATGATGTCTGATTTCTTACTGCTGCTTCCACTGGTGTTGATTGTGGATCAGAGTAAAATGACATCTTTGACAACTTCGATCTTTTATCCATTTAATCATGATGCTGCTTACTGGTCCAGTTGTGAGAATTTTTGTTTTCTTTATGTTGAGGTGGAATCCATACTGCAGACTGCATCAGTGTTTCAAGTCATCTTCATTTTCAGCAAGCAAGGTTGTGTCATCTGCATATTGCAGGTTGTTAATGAGTCTTCCTCCAATCCCGATGTCATGTTCTTCTTCATACAGTCCAGCTTCTCAGATTATATGGTCAGCATACAGACTGAATAATTATGGTGAAAGAACACAACTCTGATGCACACCCTTCCTGATTTTAAATCACACAGTATCCACTTATTCTGTTTGAATGACAGCCTTCTGGTCTATTCACAGATTGCTCATGAGCATAATTAAGTGTCCTAGAATTCCCATTGTGTGTAATGTTATCCATAATTACTGATAATACACAAGCCGAATGCCTTTGCAGAATCAATTTATTTACAGGTAAACGTCTTTCTGGTATGCTTGATCCAGCTGGTATCAGCACTGACATCCCTTGTTCCAGGTCCTTCTCTGAATCTAGCTTGAATTTCTAGAAATTCCTTGTTAATATACTGCCATAACCATTTTCGAATTATCTTCAGAAAAACTGTCTTTGCATGTGATATGAATGATATTACTTGCCTGCTAACCAGATGGCTGGCGGTTCAAACCCACCAGCCACTCCTCGGAAGGAAGGTTGGGCAATCCTACTTCCGTAGTGATACTGCCTCGGAAACCCAAGGAGGGGTCGCTATGAGTCAGGTTTGACTCGACGGCACACAACAACAACAACAACAACATGAATGATATTGCTCAATAATTTTGCCCTTCTGTTGGATCACCTTTCTTTGGAATGGGCACAAATATCAATCTCTTTTAGCCAGTTGGCCAGGTAGCTGTTTTCCAAATTACTAGGCATAGATGAGTCAATGCCTCAGCACTGCATCCGTTTATTGAAACATCTCAGTGTGTGTTCTGTCAATTCCTGCTGTTTTTCACCAATTCCTTTAGCACAGCTTTGACTTCTTCTTTCAATACCATTGGTTCTTGATCACATACTACCTCCAGAAATAGCTGAATATTTAACAATTCTTTTTGTATAATGACTCTATATTCTTTCCATCTTCTTTAATGATTCCTGCATCATTTAATAGTTTGCCCATAAACCAAAACCAAACCAAACTCACTGCTGTTGAGTCAGATCCGACCCATAGCCACCCCTCCCTGGGTTTCCGAGGCAGTATCATTATGGAAGTAGATTGCCCAGTCTTCCTTCTGAGGAGTGGTTGGTGGGTTTGAACTACCAGCCTTCTGGTTAGCAGTCAAGTGCCTTAGGCACTACGCCACCAGAGCTCCTATTTGGCCCATAGAATCCTTCAATATTGCAACTTGAGGCTTGAATTTTTCTTCCAAAATGCCAAGCGTGTTCTTCCCTTTTGGTTTTCTAACTCCAGGATTTTGCACATTTCATTAAAATAACTGACTTTGTCTTCTTGAGCTGCTTTTTGAAATCTTCTGTTCTGCTCTTTATCTTGTCATTTCTTCTACTCCCTTTAGCTACTCTCATTTCAAGAGCAAGTCTCAGAGTCCCTTCTGACATACATTTTGGTCTTTTCTTCCTCTCCTGTCTTTTTAATAACATTTTGCTTTCTTCATGGTTACTGCTCTTAATGTCATCTCACAATTTGTCTGGTTTCCAGTCATTGGTGTTCAATACAATTTACCACAGTGCAACAGCTCCCCTCCATGCGCTCCTACCCCTTGAGCTATCTCCCTATGCATACACAGCCCTTCTAGTCTTCCATGATTGTTCTCTCTAAGGCGTGTATCCACCTAGTGTAAATACCTCATATGCCTGTCTTTTGTTTGGCTGGAAGCCACAGGAGTGGGTTCAATTCCATACCTGAAGGGCAGCAAGGGGCCATAGTCTCAGGGGTTTCATCAGGCTCCTCCATCACACCAGAAAACCTGGTCCCTTTTTTATTTTCCAAATGATTTTGAGTTTTGTTCCACATTGTTCTCCTACTCTATCCAGGATCTCCTACACAGATCCCCCTCTGAGAGGCTGACAATGGTAGCTGGGCACCATCTAGTTCTTCTGATCTTACAGTATATAGGCTGAGGATTGCATGGTCCACCAGTCGCTTGGACAAATTATTTCCACGTGTCTTTGGTTTTCTTCATTCTTCTTTGCTCTGGATGAGGAGAGACCTATCATTGCATCCAGATGGTGGTTGCTTGTAAGCTTTTAAGATCCAAGTTGCTACTCACCAAAGTAGGATGTGGAACAATGTTTTGTGTAGTATGTTATGCCAAGTGAGCTTGATGTCCCCTGCGACTATGGACCCAAGCCCCCAGGTCCAACTACTTGCTCCCTCTGAGTAGCTGGCTGTGACCAAGAAGTGACTACAACTTTGTCCCTTGTCGCTCTACTATATACCTGGGAATTCTTACAGAACATAGCAATACACTTGTAGAAACATCGTCTGCCACCCTATACATTGTCTTGGGCACACTCTCCCCTGTATAGACATACCTATAGTTCAGCCTGCCTACCCATCTATCCACCCATATATCCATGTTTGCCTTCACTGACAACACAGTACTGTATGTGCAAAAGGGTTCATCTTTGTTGTCTGTACCTCCCATGTACCTCTCTATGTCTTCCTCTTCCTCAATGCCACCATGTGGATCACTCACATTTGATATATTGCCCTTCTTGTCACCCAAATCAATACTTATCACTACCTATTTAACAGTGTTCCCTACCCTACCCTCCCACCCCTGGTAACCAACAAAGAAAACTTCCTCCCATATGTAAACCTTTCCTTGACTTTTCACAATAATGGACTAATACAATCTCTGTCATTCTGCGATTGACTTATTTCACTCAGCATAATGTCTTCCAAGTTGATCCACATTATGCAGTGTTTTGCAGATTCTAACTTAATCTTTAGGGTTGTATAGTATTCCATTGTGTGTATGTACCATAGTTTGGTTGTCCATTCTTCTGCTGAGGACACCTAGGTTGTTTCCATCTTTTGGCTACTGTAAATAGTGCTGCAATGAACATGGGTGTACATATATCTGTTCCTGCTCTGGCTCTCACTTCTTTAGGATATATACCTAGTAATGGAATGGCTGGGTCAAAAAGTATTTCTGAATCCAATTTTTTAAGGAATCGCCATACTGGTTTCCACAGTGCTTGTATCATTTGACAGTCCAACCAGCAGTATATGAGAGTCCCAACGTCTCTGCATCCTCACCAGCATTTGTTATTTTCTGTCTTGTTGAACTTTGCTACTAGTGCTGGGGCAAGATGGTATCTCATTGTTGTTTTGATTTGCATCTCTCTAA